ACTCGACGTCATTTACATCAATTTCAAGATAAACACGCCCATCAATTTCCCCGTTGGGAAACTGTCTGTGTGGCTTCGGTTGCACGGTGTTGCTCCATTGAATTATCTGTTTGCGAGTGTAAAACTGTGTAAAAGTCCGCTTGTCCGCGTCTCCCTATATATTCTAATGAGAACCTTCATTTAAACTTAGTATTTCCAGCGATACTGTGTAGCTCACGCTTTACACTTCAGTTTCTTTTCTCTGGGCTCTTGACGCGTATACTCGTCAAGCTCTCTTCTACGTTTCAGTTAGTAAGTAGCTGATGTGCACGAAATAGCGCCTCGAGGCTCTGTGCTGCTCTATATCAGCTGCCACTGCATCACAATTACAGTGGGAATTATTTAGCGACGCCATTTACTTCCCTTTTTTCGCCTCTCTCGTTTATCAATATCATTTTTCTAGCCACGTTATCGCGGCGAATTTTTGTTAGTTAACAAATGAAATATGCTTTTGTGCTATTTCCTTTCTTTTTTTTCTTTTTCGGTACTATTATTTCGGTTTTTTTTTTTTTAATCTAAAAATAGAAATTTAGAAGATTAGATAGATATGTCGAAGGGAAATTTTTACAAACCAGATTCATCGACCAGAAATGTTTATAAAAAATTGATCGACTGATTTGTTACATTTATTTCTCTCGCATGAAAAATTGATAAATTTTGGTTGGTTACGGTTAGTACGTGTATACACGAAGAGTTGATTTATTTATTTCTCTCGCATGCAAAAAAATTAGTAAAATTGGCTGCGCATAGACCGAGAATTTATTTATTTACTTATCTCTCAGTTCTACAATTTTCGTTTTCAGTTTAGGTATATATGCATTCTGTTTTTGAAAATTGATATTAATTTTAATCTGTTCGATGACTGAAAATTGATAACGTTAGTTCAATCGAGGGATCTTTAAAATAATCAAGAAATCAATTTCACGTTTCCGGTAATTTCTAATGGTATTACATCGCGGGAATATTTCCCGAAAATGTTCGAAGCTTCGGTTATTGATGGTTACTCGCGTAAACGTTGCAATACACGCGTGCATGCGCACGTAGCGGAAAATTGTCTAGAAAATTGTAATCACGAGTCAGTTTCCTGCGAAGCTGTATTACAAGATCCATGAACGTCCTCCACAAGGAGATTCAATAAAGGAATTTATATAGAATTTTAGACGCGTATAATAACGTATAAAACACGTATAAAACGACGAACTTCGAACTTCTTTTCTTCCAATTTTAATTAATATTACATTTTATTTATTTAATTTTATTAACAATTAATATTACATTTTATTTATTTAATTTTATTAATAATTAATATTACATTTTATTTATTTAATTTTATTAATAATTTTAATTGTAGTTTATAAATAAAATTTTATATTACAAATTTAAAGAAATATTATATATAAAATATTTTAATATATATATTAAATAATTTATATAATTAAATTATTGTTATTAAATAATTTATATAATTAAATTATTGTTATTAAATAATTTATATAATAATTTATATAATAATCATATATAAAAGTCTAAGATAATTTTATGAAATTTTAAGAAACATCACGTATAATTATATATAAAATTTTAAGTTAAATAAACTATTAATCTTCAGAATTGAGAAAGAATATTAATATTCTTCTTTACGTTGCTCTTCGAAATATGAATGGACGAATCCGACAGTCACGCTTCTCTGTTCGACACGATCTACAAATCCCAAATTCACTCCGATCAGCAACCATACCCCGTAAGATACGAATCTCGAGCGACACCACGAACTTGACGTATTCCACTCGTGAAACGAAAATATCGTCCAACGAAAACGCCGAGAGTCGCGCGCTTATCCCTCGGATCGGCTCTCGAGGAAGCACTTGTGGACGCGCGTGCCACGAAACCGTTTGGCTCCGAGTTTTGCAACGTGACAAACAGCCACGAGAAATGGCCATGGCACTCGGTCTCTGATCGTGAGTTTGCGTTATCAGTGATCCACAACCGTGGCCAATGAAGTGGACGAGCAACGCAACCGTCGGTCTATCGATTCGATATCGTTTCGAGAGAGATCCTCTCTCTCTCTCTCTCTCTCTCTCTCTCTCTCTCTCTCTCTCTCTTTCTCGAAATGGCCTAAGAAATGGCAGTGAAACGGTGTTGCCGCTCGTATTCCTCCGCGATAATCACGAGATGGCGAAATACCAGCGTCTAATGTCCACGAACTCGGCCTCGAGGCAATGCATTTCAATGGAACCCCGGCAACCTCTACGCGCTTGATTCTCTGTCTGCTGACTGCTGCGCCTGTTCCTAAGTGATTCCGGATTGGCGCGCTAATGACTGTTTCATATTCATTGGCCGTGCGCATGAACCTCTTCGGCCTCGTCGGTTGGACATTGCCATCGCCATCGCCCGTTACGTTTTATCGCCGGTTGCTTCGCCTTCCTGGTCTTTCTTGCCTGATTTCTCTCGTCGATTCATCGCCGCGTACGATCGGCTGCCAACAGGCTAATTGCAATACTCAGCTGCTCGGCGTACTCATATTGATTAGAGTCGTGTTAGCCTTTTGGAAGGACTGGGACCGTTTCTCTCTCGTGTTTCGGCCGATCTTCGAATGTTTGTGAATGAGGTGTATTTATCACAGTGTTGCGTTGCGAAAAGTGATCTGGTTTATTTTTCTGATGGTAACAGGAAGGGATTGCTCGAAATTTTTATACACGTATTCATAAATTCTTATATTAAGATTCCAAATATTATTATATAATGTAAATATAATTATATTTATTATATGATAATATAATTATATTGTAATATTGTAATATATGCTGTAATTCTGAAATATTATTTATAAAAATATAAATTTTTATACACGTAAATATACCAAAGAGAACGTCGTCTTTTGTCCTTGGTTTATGGATGTATGAAAGTTGGTATTTTGTAAAAAGCGAAATTCTGTTTTGTTGATGTATTTTAAATTTCATACGCAAAAATGATATAATACATATATCTGGTCTTCTTTACTGTCTGTGAGAGATAGTAAATATGTATGTATCGTGAAATATGCAAATGTAATGGTATGTGATATACATGTATCTCAGAACAAGGAACAACACACTAATATTCTACATTCTTTTGAATAAATTACATTTACGAGGAATAAGATTATCAGATCTAGCCCTTTTTATCAAAAAGCCATTAAACGATAATCGGCATAGAACTTAAAACGATTGATTGATGATTAATGATGCTTAAAATGAATAATGCTTAAATTCTGACCAATTAGTGACCGATGATTAACCTAGCCTAATGTAACCAATAATTCCACCTGACCATTAATCACTGATTGTTCAACTTTGGAATTGTTTCAGTCAATGATTAATCGAAATTATTATTATTTCAATCAATGATTAATTAGTTAATCTCGAACTTATTTCAGACAGTGATTGATTAAACGACTATAGTTGATTATAGTTGATTATAGTTGATGAACTTACTTCAGTCAATGATTAATCAATCAGTTCTGAAATTATTTCAGTCAATGGTCAATTAGCGAATCTTGAAATTAAACAAAATTTCAGTCAATGATTAATTAAACAATCTAGTAGTTGTTTCAGCCAAAAATTAATCAATTTTGAAATTACTTCAGCCAATAATTAATTAGGCAATTCTTAAGTTATTTCAATCAATGATTAATCAGTCAATTCTGAAATTAGTTCAGTAAATGATTAATTAGCGAATCTTACAATTAAACAAAATTTCAGCCAGTGATTAATTAAACAATCTTGTAGTTGTTTCAGCCAATGATTAATCAGACAATTTCGAAGTTGCCTCAGTCAACGATTAATCAGTCAATCACAAACTTTGGTTGATCTTGAAGTTACTTCAGTCAATGATTAACCAGTCTCAATCTGGAAATTATCTCGAGTCGGTTATTATATTAAGGATTCTCTTGGAATTCACGGCATTCTCTTGAAATAAATAAATAAATTAGTTCCATGGAACGAGCTCAATTGAGAAACTTCACTTCAAGAGAACAGAGCGGTGGCAAATTAAATCTTCTGGTTCGCTGAAATGACGGTTTCCCGTTTACCATTACGGTAAACATGATGAAGCGAAAGCTTATTGAAACTTCGAGAAACTTTCACCAATCTTCCGATATATATAACAAGTCCAAAGATCAAAGGATCGAGCTATCCACCAAATCTGAGCGTTCGTTTCCAAAAAAAAAAAAAAAAGAAAAAAATGAACCTTTTTGAAGACGACTCATGCAAGGTTTAACCACTTGCGCTGGCAATTGATTGTGGACCATAACGAGTGACCATATATCGTATAAAATAATTTGTCGCTTTCTTTTTCTTTTGAACTTGGTACGATACCACTGGATAGAAATTATTGAGAAGTAATAAATTTATTATTTGTTTTGCCTAGATTGTACTTAAAATATACTTAAATAAAATATACTTAAATATACTTAATATACTTAAGTAAAATATATTTAAATATACTTAAGTAAAATATACTTAAATATACTTAAATGAAATATACTTAAATATACTTAAATATACTTAAATATACTTAAATAAACTATACTTAAATATACTTAAATATACTTAAATATATTTAAATGAAATATACTTAAATATACTTAAATATACTTAAATGTACTTAAATGAAATATACTTAAATATACTTAAATATACTTAAATGAAATATACTTAAATATACTTAAATATACTTAAATATACTTAAATAAACTATACTTAAATATACTTAAATATACTTAAATATATTTAAATGAAATATACTTAAATATACTTAAATATACTTAAATGTACTTAAATGAAATATACTTAAATATACTTAAATATATTTAAATGAAATATACTTAAATATACTTAAATATACATTTAAAACTGAGAAAATATTGCAACTTTGGAACAAGGAATTCTCGACGTGCGTAGCACGTCATTCCAGCGCAAGAGGTTAAACACGTTCTCGTCATTGCAAATCATCGAACTCGACGGTGGTTTCTACTCGGCAATGGCGTATCGAGGAACGTCGATGGAGGGTGCTAAGAGGATCCGCGCTGGCTTCCAGTGTTTTTATCGATGCACGTTGCACCCCACAAGGGGGGTAGGGAGGGGGAACGGGGAGAAGCGTAGAGAGAGAAGGAAGGAAGAAGGGGTGGAAAAAAAGACGATGGAAAGGAAAGCGACGCAACCAGACCGCGGCAGCAAAAGGTGGGTGTTTTTCAGGTGCGATCGATATAGTACATCACCCACACCGTCGTCCCTTGAACTCTTTTCTTTTTCCTTTCCCTCTCCCCCCCCCCCCTCTCCCTCTCTTTCTCTACATCCGTCCTCGTTCACCCTGGATCGGTGAGTGTTCGTCACCTTTCCGAGCCTACGGAATAGCCGTCGTTCTCTCTCTTCAGCCACTGTGCTGCTCAATCCTTTCCTGCGCGGAAACGCGCCCCTCTTTGTCCCTCCCTCTCTCCCTCTCGCCGCGTCCCAATGAAAGTCTCAATGTCACGGTCCCTGTAATTTTTCTTGTCTGAGCAGCGGCGCGTACGCGGCTGAAACCAGAGGCGTGTCCCAGCGCGCAACGTGCTTTTCCAGCAGCCTCGTTCTAATTAGTAAATGTACCCGACCAGATGGAACATCGATGGAGGAGGTGAAAAAGAAGAACGAGAAGGAGGATGGAAGGAAGCAAAAACGTCGGAATTGTGCCGTCTGTGACATGTTCGAAATGGGCGCCGTTTTCTCGCGCCACGCGGCCACGCGGTTTCACGCGACGTCGTTTCCAACGGCGAGATTTCTCTAAAGTGGGGTTGATCGATTGCGGACTGTCTAGACGGTTCGTTTGAACGCGTTCGTGCTCTTTTCAACGCGCGCCGCCGTCGAATCGCATCAGCGAAACAAATTGGTGGCCGCGTTAAAACCGAGTTTTCCCTAAATTCGTTAGGCCGGACAACAAAGCCGCCCCTAATGACCACGGGAAACACGTTTATCCAACGTTTCCGCGAACGTTTCTTACGATCGTGAATGACGCCGGTGAAGAAGATTGCCGAAACGGTCGGCAAAGTGCATCGTTTCCGTCAGGTTTTGCTAGATATTTTTTAATTTCGTGACGAAACTATAGAACGTCGATAAATCCTGGAGCAAGTTTGAACAATCATTTCTCGAGTATTTATCTTTGAATCAAGACATTTAACGTTTTTGATAAATTTATCATTTATTTATTTAACCCCTTGCGCTGGCAACTGGTCCGCGGACCATAACGAGCGACCAAACACGTATACGATAATTCGTCGCTTTCTTTTCCTTTTTGAACTCGTCGGTATGATATCACTGGATAGAAATTATTAAGAAGTAATAAATTTATTATTTGTTTTATTTGGATTATACTTAAATATACATAAAACTGAGAAAATATTATATGCAATTTTTCGACAAAAAATTCTCGACGTGCGTGGCACGTCATTCCAGCGCAAGATGTTAAATCGAAGTATTATCATTTGCGTGTTGATAAATTAAAAAATATTGATAACTGATAAAATGGTAGTATAATGTTTCTGTGTTTCCAAGGGTGTATAATTTATCAACTCAATTATTACGATGAACGTTGTTTAGAAAAGAACGCGTTTTTAATGGCCATAGATGGACTTGAGCCACTTTCAAAATTAATGAAGTGACTTTTTTAATTTTTAAAAAGACACAAGTCCCTTAAAAAAAATAAAATAAAATTTCCTTCAAATAAAGAAAAATATTACAATTTTGCGTTATAAAATAACAAAGGTATCCAACTTTTATTAGTTATTAATGAAATGTTACATTCAAATAATATTTCGTAATTTATAATTTGCGTATGCGGAAGGGATTTAAAATAATTATGGTGTACAGGTTGTATATAGTTGATGTTTTACAGAACATTTTATATGGTTCTTTTCTCGAAAATCACATCCAACATATTTTTAACCATTTCTCCATTATTTTTTAACATTCCAGAAACCGCGTCCTCTAGAGATTCAGTTGATATGAAATCCTATATATTTAATGGAATTATTATTTGAAGAATCACTGCCTGAGCTAATCGAACACTTCTACTTTAATAATACAAAATACAGCTCTCATCTCATAAAATTTTACCGCCTAATACATACTTTATATCAGTTTGAAACTTTTGAAACTGTGACTCCAGCCACTTTCAAAATCAAAATCCTTATCATTCTATTAACCAGCTAATTTTCTCTGTACGAAATCTCAGCGATTTTAAATATATTAGTTACAATTTGTTTAAAAAATGAAAAGGTTGATCCTTTTGGGAAATGGACTTGAAATGAACGGTTCACATGCTTCGCGACGATAGTGAAACTATTTGAGCTGGGTAAAAATTTTGTCAAAAAGTATCTTTGTACACCGTTTTCAATATTAGTTACGTCGTGTCACGCGTGAGATGTCGGCTTTTTATACAAAACAAAAGTTCACGTTGGATATTTTTGAGAATTAGTTTCGAAATAGGCGACCAGGAGGACTCTTCTTCCTCTTCTTCTTCTTTAGTTTTTGTTGCTACACACGCCTTTACGCGCGCAGTTTTGTCCCGTTTCGCGCTCGGGAAAATTTTCAGCGAATCCCTCCACTCCCATGGACTGTGCAAACGTTACAATTGTACGGATACATTTACACAATCTTGCCGGCCTTGCAGCGACGATTTACTTTGTTGAAAGGAGAACTTTCGGCGGTATTCATTTCGTTGCGGAATGAAAAACGGGGCTCGTTAGGTCGGAATTGCTTGCATAAAACTCAAGAATCTAACATTTCGAGTCAGAAACGGCCACGCGTCTTCTCGCTCCGCCTGTGCAATCACTCATCTCCGCATACAAAGATCTTCATTCTAATCTTCAGCAAACTGTAGAATCGTCTGTAGAGCCTAACGTCAGCAGAGCGTTAGGGTTAGGTTTCTCTCGTACAATTTCAAATAAAATTCTGGTCTTATTTCCGGAGGAATTACTTCCTCGACGGTGTTACACGTGGAAATTGTTACTCTTCTTTTCCTCTCTTTCATTTTTTTTTTTCTAAAGTTCTTTCATCAAAGTTTGCTCTTTAGGCCGTGTAATGGCGAACAAGATACCTCTGGAATAAATGACTGTCATTTTCTTTCGTTTTTTTTATCTTTCCAAATTGCTTTATCAAGGCTTACTTGTTTTTAGCCAGCAGGCTGCCTGAATAAAGAAAAAAGAGCTGTTGTTTTACGTTCTTCAAACACTGTTCCTTTGACGATCTAAAAATCTACTGAAATCTAAATGAACTTTAAACAAACGGAAGCGGAACGATAATTTAAAAAAAAAAAAAAAACCTTTGAAAATAGCACAAACGGAAAGAGAAAGCAGACTACGCTACTTTCCAATTACGAAATTGTTGTCCCCCGGTTCGCAAATACACGTACGTAGCGAGAACAAAACGGCTCTTCCAATCGCGAAGATTGTTCCTTTGACGATCTAGAATCTACTCAAATTCCAATAAAAAATAACAACAATATTAATTCCAAAGGAAATATTCTAAAACATGACGATGGGGGGGGGGGGAACAGACACGCTATTTTCTAATTTGGAAATTGTTGTCAGTGAAGTTAATACCATGCAGTCGACGGGAACGGCTCCTCCATTACAAAGATTGTCCTTTTGACGATCTGAAATCTACTTCAAACGGATGCAATAATCCGCGAAAGAAGCAAATACGTGGTAAAATGAATTATTCGTCGAGAAATAGTACAGCGGAGAGGTAAGCGGGCAAGCTACGTTCCAATCGAGAAATTGTTGTCTCTGGTGCTAACACCTGCAGGCAACAGAACAGGCATGATTAAAACGACTAACGAAAAGCTGCGAGCGCTAACGACCAATACCGATCCGCTGCTGGCCAGTTTGCTAGAACGTGCGCGGGGATAAGTGTCGATCCTTGATTACGTGTCGGAGGTGGAGCACGAGCGATTGGGAAAAGTGTGGGGGATAAACGGTTTTCCTGCGGAGAAAATGGACAGCCGAGAAAAGCGCCGCGCGGATAAGCAATTTCCGTGAAAGTTGCGGGGAGAAGCTCCGAAGCTTTTCCCCCCCCCCCCCCCCAATCCTTCCTATTTCCCGCCGCCCTTCTTCACGGCCAAGTTTACAAGGCTGCCTTTAATGAACCACTTTTAACGAATCTCGCGCGATAAAAATGTATACATGTCACGTTCGTAGACGATGCTCCTTTTAACAATATTTCCTTTTAATTTCTTTCCTTCCTCTCCGTTTTTTTTTTTTTTTTTTTTCTTCAATCGAATTTCGTCGGAATGAATTGAAGAGATTTCTGGTATAGTATACTTCTGCTCGGAAGCCTTGGGACATCTGTTCTTTTTCAACGAATTCTTCGACACTTGGTGGAGGAACGTGAATGTTAACCACTTGCGCTGTCAATTGATTGCGGACCATAACGAGTGACCAATACCGTACACAATTATTATTCGTCGCTTTCATTTTTGAACTCGTCGCTGCGATATAATGATTGAGAAGTGATAAATTCATTACTTGATTTGCCTATTTTGTTTACTTAAGTTATACCTAAAACGGAGAAAATATTACAATTTTGGGACAAGACAAATTCTCGACATGCGTGGCACGTCATTCCAGCGCAGGAAGTTAATGTCAAAGAAAATTTGTTGCTCAAGGAAATCTTTAGCAGCATATGTTATCCTCATAAAACAATAAATTCAGTGTAATAACGTATAATATAATATGCTACATATTACATTTATTACATGAAATATATAATACGTAGAAATCTAATTATATATTTATATTATAATACACATCAATAAATGACGTTTACATAATAATTAACTCAAGACTCTCATCTTCATCGCTGTGAAAAGAAATGCACTGTCCGATTATGTACATATTTGTATATGCAAGCATAACAAATATAAAGTATTATGTACATATTTTTATATGCAAGCATGACAAATATAAAGTATTATGTACATATTTGTATATGCAAGCATAACAAATATAAAGTATCATGTACATATTTGTATATGCAAGCATAACAAATATAAAGTATTATGTACATATTTGTATATGCAAGCATAACAAATATAAAGTATCATGTACATATTTGTATATTCAAGCATAACAAATATAAAGTATTATGTACATATTTGTATATGCAAGCATAATAAATATAAAGAAAAAAAATATCTTTATATTTATTATGCTTGCATATACAAATATGTACATAATAAATACGTGCGTACAGAAAAGTCACGGCGACGCGTGCTTGGATATGGAAAACTCAGCGTATTCGTTAGCAAGATGACCAAGAAGAGGCAAAGGAGCGGCGAGGAAAGCGAGCGGATGTAGCGTGGTCTTCTTTGGTGGCGAGTGCCGTCCTATGGAAGCTTCGAGTTTCACAATGGATCGGCCTCTTACCAGGACAAGACGCCAGCCCGCACTTTCGAGTCTTGCTTTAATTAAACAAGATATCAGTGCGAGCCTTCAGGGCCTCTGGCGAAGATCCTTTTCAATCCTTTCGCCCCCCTCCCCCACTTTCTCGCCCTTTTTCTTGCCCTTCTCGCTTTCTTCCGAACCTTCTCTACCGAACTCTTCAATCCCGGACTCTCAGCCGCGGCTCTTTCCACGTGTTCGTTTCCTTAATGACGACTTCTTTCTTCTCCTCCAATATTTCTCTTTCCACTTTCTCCCATCTTCGCGTTGCCTGATTTCAATGCTTTCGGCCTTTCTGCCTTCTGCCCCTCGGACCTCACTCTCACGTCCGTGCGAATTTCATCGCCGAGCCCGCGAAAATATTTTTATTTTCATCGGTGTTGCAAGAAAAAGCTCGTGAAGTTCCGTTCACATCTCGTGTACATCGTCGTCGAC